AAACCACTCAAAAAATACTTTGTGCAAGAGATTAAAATAGGCATAAAATACATATATACACTCATTCACAAGCAAAAAGAACAACAGTAAAGTATATAACTAGAATTTAAAGCTCATATTTTGTATAAAATAAAAATATGTAAAAAAAATGGCATGAATAGTAAAATGGATACAACTAATTATGGATTAAAAAGCAGAAGCCGGGCTCGGTGGCTCAGCCTGTAATCCCACGTCTTTGGGAGGCTGAGGTGAGTGGATTGCCTGAGCCCGTAGGTTCGAGACCGGCCTGGGCAACTTGGCGAGACCTCATCTCTGCAAAAAAAATCAAAATGAGCCAGGTGTGGTAGTGCATGCCTGTAGTTCCAGCTACTTGGAAGGCTGAGGCAGAAGTATCACCGGAGCCCAGCAGGTCGAGGCTGCGGTGGCCGGGAGCAGCCACTGCACTCCAGTCTGGGTGACAGAGTGAGACTCTAACTCAAAAAAAAGTAGGAAGGGAGTCGGGCATGGTGGCTCATGCCTATAATCCTAGCACTTTGGGAGGCTGAGGTGAGAGGATTGCCTCAGCCCATTGGTTCCAGGCCAGCCTAAGCAACTTGGCAAGACCTCATCTATACAATAAATCAAAACATTAGCTGGGCATGGTGGTGCATGCCTGTAGTTCTAGCTACTTGGAAGGCTAAGGCAGAAGGATTGCCTGAGCCCAGTAGGTCGAGGCTATGGTAGCCAGGAGCATATCACTGCCCTCCAGCCTGGGTGATAGAGTGAGACTCCAACTCAAAAAAAAAAGCGGGAAGGTCAGATGCAGGAGCAGGGAGGCTATACCAAAAGCTAAGAGATTTTTTTTTTTTTTTTAAAGATAAGGAACATGAACTTAAAATGTACAAATTAGAAGACAGTTAAGAAGAATGAGAAAAAACTTTTTCTTTTTTGAGTTGGAGTCTTACTCTGTCACCCAGGCTAGAGTATGGTGGTACGCTCACGGCTACCAGTCTTGATTTGCTGGGCTTAGATGATCCTTCCACCTCAGCCTTCCAAATAGCTGGAATTACAGTTATGTGCCACCACGCCTGGGTAATTTTTGATTTATTGTAGAGATGAGGTCTCACCAAGTTGTCCGGGCTGTCTCTAACCCGTGGGCTCAATCCACTCACCTTGGCCTCCCAAAGTGCTCAGATTACAGGCTGAGCCACTGAGCTCAGCCAAAATTTTTTTTTCTTTTTTTATTTTTTTTGTTCTGTTTGTATGCTATTCTAAAATATTTTTTTAAAACTCTCAACTAGTCACATTAACATAAAGTACAATTGTCAAAGGCAGAAAGAAACTAACAACCTGAAAATAGAAAAAAAAACATTGAAAGTAGATGGGAGTTAAGTCCAATTTTTAAGCAAAAACAGTAGATGCAAGTCAGAAAAGAATACTTTTAAAATGAAGAAATACACTTAAAATCAAGATTTTACATTTACATTACTTAAATGGGTTAATTTCACAGTCAAAAATGGCCTAATTGACTATTTTGCCAAGTGAAATGTGCCAGTCACAAAAGGACACATATGACTCTTCTTACAAGAGGCTTCCTGAGCCAGGTTCGGTGGCTCAGCCTGTAATCCCGCGCCTTTGGGAGGCTGAGGTGAGTG